ATTTTATTTGTTTTTTTCTCACAAAACTTTAAAATCCGGTTTTGTTCAAACAAAATTTATAACTTTTACTTAAAATATTATCAAAGCTAATATATTTATTGTACGTACTCGTGATTATTTAACTGATAATTGATTATTTTTTAGTTATTGTTACTGACTATTTCGTTAAGTTGGAGCACGGCGCGTGTTCGAGAACGCGTGAACGACGCATCGAGCTCGACGGTTCGATCGATCGACGAACCTGATTGCGCGCCGTCAGGCAAATCTCTGGATAATGGAAAGAACATCAAGCGGATGCAAATTTTCAATCAGACTGGATTCGATGGTAAAGTGCACAGAATTCGTATAGATTCCAGCGAGGAGGATAAACCAGGCATTCACGCCTATGGGTTGCCGAAGAAACGCTTCCGGGATAACGGCGTTATCGAGAGAATCGGGGAGAACCGCATCGATAACGTTCCGAAAAGTGGCCGATTGGTAAATAAGATCTGCAATTTGATTGATCAACATAAAAATGTCGTAAGATTAACAATTCTTATTATAACAATTTGTTTGAGCGTGTAAACATTTGACGATTAAGGAGAGAAATTTTTCAAAATAAATAATTTTTAATATAGATTCTAATTGTATGTAAGTGCAAAATATTTATTAATATTAATTAATGTAACGAATCTAATATAAACTAAATAATTACTGTTTTATTATTTTGTTTTTACAACTATTTATTAGTTCAACAGATAAAACTATATTGTATCGTATTGTACAGGTGGAAGCCTACGGAATGCCGAAAAATATCGTAGAAAGTAATGGCTTTGTCGAAAGGGTGTTATCGTCAAACGCGGATCGTTATCAACTTGGGACAACATCGCGAAATGATAACGAAAATGTCAGAATAAGAAGATCCGTTCAAACAGGAACTGAGAATAAGATCGAAGAAAAAGTCGCGAGCGAAACGGAAGATATGGAGGCGCAGGACGCGAAAGTCTTCAGGCCGCTATTCGTTTATAGACAACAAGTGGCTGCCAGACAAAGACGGAAGCACGCGAGAAACGTAGCGCACAAAAACCACGTGTCGCAACCTTGCAATTATAAATCAGCAATCTATTAATTCCTTATCACAAATGTACTCGACACAATTTTGTTGAAAACGTCAATTTTGAAGAAACCGGAATTTTTTGGCAAAACACTTCCAAACATTGTTAGCTCGAAATTGGAAGATAATTATTTGAACATTAGAAAATAAATGCTTTATTTTTTTTCTAGTTTTAAATGACGTAATTGAAGTCTGTTGATAACAAATATTACAACTAGTGTTTTATTTATGTATTACGTTACAACTCCATGACTACGATTGCAATACCAAAAAGTATTGTTTTATATGTATAGTGGAATTAGATAATTAATTTTAAAGAGTAAAAATATATAGAGATTTTAATATTCCGTTTTATTAGACAAAACTGTACGCAGATACAGATTTATGCGTTCAATATTACTATTGCGATATGTATCTAGCACGCTTTTTGCAATAAATAATTTGCTTTAATATCACATAAATATTTATGTTTTTCAAGAATGCTTTTCCATTTTATTAACTACATCTAATCGGAATATCAGAATATCAAAGAGTTGTCATATACTTCTCTAAGTATAAAGTTCTTCTGGCGTTGAGTCATGAAAAAACAAGTGAAACTCGCAAATTGGTAGCTCTGCTAAATAGACAATACAACACGCACATGTTATAGGCAATTTTCTCTTAACATTTGTTTGATTTCCAAATTTTCGGTCGACAAAGAATAATTAATAATTCTAAAGAACATCTATGCAAAAAGTTACAACCACGCTAGAAGATAAATTATGTCAGAAATAAACTATAAAAAAATTATTAATTATGTGAGTAAAATAATTCTTAGATCTTTTTATTTCTTAACCTATTCTTCGTGTATTAAATATCACTGCATCATTAAGTAAAAAATAAGTGATAATATGCATATATTTGAAATAATTTATTTATTTAATCTTTTCGTGCGGTTAATGCACCAGCATGTATAAAAAGGTACAGGATATATTTGTGATAAACAAAATCGTTTCTGTAAGTGTCTTGTATGTACTCGAACTCTTACTGCTTCTTGTATTATTGCCATTTACGATTTGGAAATGGATCTCTGCAAGAAAATATGCAGTAGAAATGTTAAAAGCGATTGTTGAGGTAAGAGATGAAGAAATTTATTTTTCCAAACATATTTAAATCTATTATACACGTAGTTTTATCAAATCTTGACTTGTCATATATTTTATTTATTTATTTTTAACTGAAAATTGGCTGTCATTTCTTTTAGATCGCAATAGAACTGAGTATGTGGATCATCTTGGCGGGTGTGTCAATACTCGTAACTGGAACTTTTGTGTTTAATGATAGATACTCTAGTAAGCCAAATTGCGAGAGTCAGCAAAACTATTCGGATGACGAGTTATGTGACAATGACAAGAATTGTCATAATATGAAATCTCAAGAGTCTGCGGAAAAAACGCATATATTATAATATTGTATTAAATTATTAGCAGAAATTAAGTTTTGAAGTAGATAAAAAAAATATGTAAGAAATATGTCGCACAGTAAGAGTACGTTAGCTTTGAATCCTCAAGCTTTTGTGATTGTCAGTCTATTTTTATTCTCCTCATTCAAAGAGCAAAGCAAACGGACTGACGCTTAAAGCCTCTTGCACAATGCGAGGGAATAGTGATAGCGATAAATAATAGACACAGAATTCCAGCTCGTCGGAAAATTTATCGCTATTGCTTATTCCGTTTACTAATCTGCATTGATACATGTGTATTTTTGTATGTTAGATTCCGCTGTTCCTATCGTTATTTATAAATATAAACTCTTGAAAACTAGTGTTATATTTCTATCGCTATCGCTATTTCTTCCATTGTGCAAGAGGCTTAAAGTGCCCAATGTGCAAACACACTTTTAACATCTCATCTTAAAAGCGTAAACACAATAATATTGTGTGAAAAACTTGTCTTGTATGTAAGATAAACTTGTTAAACATCTATTGTTACACATAAAATAGCATTGACAGAATAAACAATAATTGTTTGTTAATATCTTTTGTATTTCAAAACTTGCTTTTAAAGATTATTTTGAAAGTTCGTAGAATTAAAAATTCGTTTTCTTTAATACTCGATTGTTCGAAATGTTTGACACGACGGTTTATAATTTGAGTTCGACACAATAAACTCGTCAACACGACACGACCGACAAACTCACACACTGACTCAAAGTCACCTGTGTTTTCACGACACCATCTAAGGGCAACAGGGCTCACGGCACGACAACGACAATAAATGTTTCAAATTACAATCAACTGAATAAATCAATCTCACACGCTTATTTCCTTTACAGGTTTAATATAATTTATTAGAAAAGAATAATTTGATACAATACGACAACGGCAACGTGCAACGACGATTCGACTAAGATTATCCCGACTCGAATATTTCGACTTCGACGCAACGACTTATTTTTACGACTGATCAGTTCGCCGGTTTTAACCCGAGTCTCCCGATCCTTCGCCGGCACACCTCTCGCTCGACGATTTTCTCGAGCCCTTTTTATCACACATTTTTCACGTGATTTCGGCAATCACATGACAGCGCAGCAATATGCGCGTTAGTCGTCGATCGCGGCCACCCGGTATGTGGCGCCGCCGCACAGCTGATATCTTACAATTTCTAGAGAGATATTATTTTTAAGCACGTCAATTATACACACGTCCAGTAAAAAATTTTTCATGTACAAAATTGTATGAACATATTCGGTATATATATATATATATATATATATATATATATATAAATTTGCATAATTAGATATAATAAGTTTAATTTGTGTATAAGTATATATGATTATATATCAAAAATTTTTTAAAAAATAGTAAAAATATAGTTTTATATAATTTTTTTTGTATCTAACATGATACTAATAGAGTTATTTTGTAATTTGATATGGAATATCTCTGAAGCCATTCTCTTAAAAAAAGAAATTCTCCGTGTATAAAATTGTATTGGACATATTCGGCATATAAATTTGCATAATTAGATATAATTATTTTAATTTGTGTATAAGTATATATGCAACATTTTTTACCGGGGTATGATGTAACGTGTATGGTACGTGCTTCAAACAAACATGATGAGTGTCACGCAACAATTAAATATCAAGTACTTGAAAAAAATAAAATCTCTCTATATCCTAAATATTATCACCTATGTTATCATTTTTATTTGACACGCTTTATTTATAAATTACTTAATTTAAAGTAAATTTTTCTTGCGCGTAATTCTATTTGACCCCGTTTTTGTTTTATGTGTAACGTCTCTTCAACTGTAGAATAGTTTAAGTAACATCGATCGCAAGTAGTCGTGACATATAGTACATACAGTATATGCAGTTATGGCTTCCGTTAATCAGACTATATTGATTGGATAATCGCGTCAAACAAGAAGAATTGTGCCTGAGAATAAGTGCTGAATAAGTTTGACAATGCTTCACAGCGATATATGTCTCCTTTGCGCTAAGCGAAAACAAACTGAATGAATATCTTACGCTCCAATCCATCGTGATACCCCCACTCAATGTTGCGTCCGCAGCGGAGTACAGTTGGGGGACAATATTTTATGACACGACGCGTGCAAGCGAAGTTTCGATATAGACGTAGAGACTACGTCTGAGTTTCGATAAAACCTCTTACCAGAGCATGCGTGATGAAGCAGTCGAGTCGTGATAAGCGAACCGACAAGCACGATTTCGAAACCTCAGAGCTGATTGTCGAACGTGTCGTTATTGTCTTTTTGTTATCGCGCGTGGAGTGTTTTGCTCGTTTTTTCTGTTGCTGGTAACTTAAGACAGAATTTGCACGGAGTATTTTATTTAATACTTTAGTCAACAGTTAATCGGTTTAACTACACGCGATTGTCGCGGTATGTGAGTGCGTGACGCGCGTAGGCAAAAGAATTTCTTTTAAATTCCCTAGGAGAGAGAAGGGAACACATAAAAGAAGAAGAAAAACAAAACAGAGAGAGAGAGAGAGAGAGAAAAGACGAAGTATCTTAGTAAAATGAAGTACGTAGCAGCGCTTGATGTTGGTACTACTACAATTCGCTTTCACCTTCTGGACGAAAATGCGACTACAATTGCTTTATCGGCAGAGAAGGTTTGTAGTTGCGCGACTAATTACCATAACTCATTATTCGGTTTATTAAACAACGGATTTATTCAAATGACTCAAATCGCAAATATAAATATGTAAAACATTTTAATATAGGATTAAAATTTTTTTATGAATCTTTTAGAGTAAGAAGGAACATATTTAAAATTGTAATGTATTGACAATTTTTTTTACTCTCGAATATAATGATATATCTTTTGCGCAAAAATTATCATTGCTGAAGATAACGTTTTTTTTTAGACAATATGACACGAATTGTTTTACTCGTTATCACACTGTCACTATTAATATTGTCACAATATCGTAAAACTCTATGTTCAAGTAAATAAAATATATATAAATGAAATATATATAAATAAAATTATATAAAACATAAAAATACTGAATTACACATAAAAGTTACGTATATTCGTGTTATTTACGTAATGACTTGTGCAAGATTGCAAGTAGATTACGTATTGAACATATTTATTACATGTTTAGGCGTTGTAAAAATATCAGACTTGATTCACGATGTTTTTCTTGTTTACGTCATTAATTTCCAACGCGCTTGTAGAATCATTATACTTGCAGCTTGCGTAACGCACATATGAGATATATAAATAAATATGAGATATATAAATAAATGAAATATACAAATCTAGAAAGTAAGTTTTCAATTAATTGTTACTTTACATTTCCTATAATATTTACTTATTTTTTTACATATTTCCTATAACAATAATATTACACATCTACATTTGCATGAAGTAAATGTTTAGAAAAACAGATCCAGCCTCGATGACCTTGATCTTGACATATGTTCTCAAGAACATGTTCATGAATAACAATCGAAAGATTTTAGCATTTTCATCGCTCGCTCTTCATGAAAAAGTTTATGATTCTAAAAAGTTGTATCAAAATTACGTATACTGTCTACATGTACTACCCAGATAGCCAAATGATAGCAGTATGCCAGCAATATGCCACGCAGTTCTAATCAGCACTTTGCAGCAGATTCCACTCAGATTCCATCTTTTTTTTTTCCGTGCACACGTGTGCGCGATGAAATATATTCACAAATTCAGGCAAACATATTTATTTAAGGAGACATATTTAACGCGCGCAAACCTTGCACGCAAGAAATGTTGTATGGGGTGCTCATTATTTAAAAAAACAAAAGAAGAAACACTCACTATGTTCGTGTTGTCACGGGCCACAAAAACAAATAGTTCATTCAATTACATACGCGATTAATTTAATGTCTAGATTCATAAAGCAATTATCTGCTGTGTGCAATAATATTTGATGTTGCATCAACAAGATATATTAAAAAAAAAACTGATACTTGATTCAACATCATTTTTTATTCCGTGCATGCGTGTGCGCGATGAAATATATTCGCAAACACATAATTCAGGCAAACATACAAGATTTACATATTTAACGCGCGCAAGCCTCGCACGCAAGAAATGTTGTATGGGGTGCTCATTATTTAAAAAAACAAAAGAAGAAACACTCACTATGTTCGTGTTGTCACGGGCCACAAAAACAAATAGTTCATTCAATTACATACGCGATTAATTTAATGTCTAGATTCATAAAGCAATTATCTGCTGTGTGCAATAATATTTGATGTTGCATCAACAAGATATATTAAAAAAAAAACTGATACTTGATTCAACATCATTTTTTATTCCGTGCATGCGTGTGCGCGATGAAATATATTCGCAAACACATAATTCAGGCAAACATACAAGATTTACATATTTAACGCGCGCAAGCCTCGCACGCAAGAAATGTTGTATGGGCTGCTCATTATTTAAAAAAAAAAAAAGAAAAAACATTCACTATGTTTGTCTTGTAAGAGTGTAGGCAAGGAGGACTTTTTCCCCCACAGATGGAGAGGGCAAAGTCTCTTCCCGTGCACTCCTTCGAAAAAACCTAACTTAACCCAACCTTACTACAGTACTATTAAGTACTACAGTATTATTAAGGCTGCATTTACTTTGGACGCTTACGCGCTTTAAGCGTCAGTTTGTCTTTATTGTTGTTTAAATATAGAACAAAGATAGACTGACGCTCAAAGCGGGTGAGCGCCCAAATGAACGCATTAAGAGAATGCTGAACCGTCCTGTTATATCGACGGGATACGTCATTTTAGTAGATCGGACTAATCTCATTATTTACTGTATCAAATGAAAAACGCTTTTCCAGAAATAAAGAACGTAAAGAAACACTTGTCGGTCTGGTGCTTTTTGGTCTAAAAAGTACCAAAAATTACATTGTCCTATTATCACTTGATCATATTTTGCTATTTTTAAACAATTTCTAAACATTGTATAAATATACAGGCACCAGAGCGATAAGCGGATGATATAAAAGAATATAATGGAACAATCAGAATGTGATTTTTATTGTCTAGTTTACGAGAATAGTTAGTTCTTCTAATGAAGCACATACGATAGTAGGCAGGATACGCACACAAGCAGACAGTCGCGTACGTGTGCATATCCCCACCACTATCAGACGGGCAAACCGAACGAAAGACAAGAAAAGAGATATACGTCTATCCTTATAGAGGGCATTACCTACTAGACAGCGTAGCAGCAAACCGCTGGTTCAGCCACGAAGTAAGAGTAAGGAGATCGAACTTGATAGCGCGCGAATGGAAAAAGTGGTCCCGATTTTTACGGTTCATTGGGAGGGAATCCGCTCAAGGGAATAGGTTTTTACGGTTGGACGCCATTTGCAAAACTGTGCATGTACACAACTAACACATGTACACGTTTAGTGTATGTAATCTATCTTGTTACCTATCTATCTTGTAAAAACCTATTCCCTTGAGCGGATTCCCTCCCAGTGAACCGTAAAAATCGGGACCACTTTTGTATCACGGAGTTCGATCTTCTTACTCTTTCTTCGTGGGTTCAGCATCCTCTTAAGGACGTTCTCCGAATTATTGATTTTCCTAGGATTTTCTTTAAGTTTGCGATATACATAGTTTATGATCTTATTTATACGTAGCCTTTTTGGATAATAGGGGTAGCAATGTTCAATTCCAAAATATGGAAGATTTAAGTTTCAATGTTTAACATAGATTTTCTATGCTGAGCCTTTGTGAAGTGGGGTTTTTTAAAGTTACTGACGACATTTTTTGTAGGATTTTTTTTAAAAACAAGTATGTGGTAGCGGAGAGTGTCTTAATTAAAATACGATTTTGAATAATAAAGGCAAGCAACCTTTGTTTTCAAACTGTAGCTTTTTTTTTTTTTTTTGGTCTTTTGTTTTGTTTTGCTGGATTTATGTGCGCTGTGTTCTGCAGCTATTTTTGAACTTCTGCGCAGAGTAAGCGGGTCTTAGCAGTGCTGAATAGCTCAACTTAACTTTGTTACAGCAATACAAACTTACTCATGAGAAGAGATATTTTAGGTTGCTAACCACTGTATTTAGGTTGCTAACCACTGTAGTCGGAGAACGTCCTTAAGAGTGAATGAGATTTTTCTGAGAAGCGGTGCAGGCGGCGGAGTTCTCCTTCTACCTACGTATACGATAGCGTGTGATACAAACAAAATATTTACTTTTCGTTTTTTGACACAATGTATATTTGAAGTACATGGTGTCAAAAATCGAAAGTTCAATTCAGAAATTTGATTTGTTTTCATAACTTTTTTAATGAACAATGAACAACGGCTAAAACCTTTTGATTGTTTAAATAAAACGATAGAGAGAAGGCAAACCTTTTGATTGTTACTCAGGGATATATTCTTGACAACATATATCAAAGTCATCGGGCTGGGTCCGTTTTTATAAACATTTGCCACTTCTGTTTTAATATTTTTTCTTTATTACGGGCTAATAATTATATCCAAAAATATGCATTTACAATATGTATAATGATAATATTGTTTTTTCAATTTAGGTAGAACTGATTTATCCAAGTCCTGGTTTTGTAGAAATAGATCCTGATCGTCTTTGGCAGGGAATAATAAAAGTAATCAAGAATACATTAGATGGTAAGATTTTTGTTTTTACTATCATGATCGCAGATTATCTGATAAATTTTTGTCTTTTTGTAAATGATGATAGGCAAAATGCATACCTATGAGTGAGAGCTTAACACATGCACATATCTACTTGTGCAACAAGAAACATAAAAAATAAGATAATATTATCATCCCAGCAAAAATCTCTTCCGCAATTTACAATCTGGAATAGATAAACGCAGAGAATTTTGGTTTCACGCATTTGTAGTAGACACTCGAAGTTTCAGTTTTGAGTCGCGTGCTCGATCTTTGCGTTGATCACCCTAATAGGCAAATTGTGAAAATATTGCACAAAAATGGCATTATGAATAACGACGATTTTGTAATAATTGCACTAAGATGATTCGCCGTAACGCAACAGTTTTGTCGAGATAAAAGTTTGTAAATAATATTTGTCAAAAATTGCGAAAGAGTCGTTATGCATTTTCTTAAGTACATATATGAATTAAGTTGATTTGTTCATATGCAATTATATTTCTACATATTTTAAACATCACATAACTGAAGTTTTTTTCTCAATTATTGGACAATTTCTTTTTAAAATTAATTTTGCAAATATACTGCTAAGATGATTTGCCATATCGTTATTCTTTTGAAAAAAATAGTATTTGGAAAGTAATTTTGCAAACTACAAATATTTTTTATAAAAGATCAATGTTTTTACATCTATTTCCTAAAATATATCTGTATAATTGCAAATTACAATTTTAGTGCAAGATTTTGTCACATAATTTTGTTAATGGTTTTCTATCAGGGTATGTTTACATGAGAATCATTATACAAAATATTAACTATTTATAAACTATTATTATATATGTATATATATTTATAAACTATTATTATTATATATAAAATATTATAAAAACTTAGTTACGTATAATATTGTATACAACTAAAGAAGAGCGACATACTGCTGTCGTTCATAAGAAATATCTCTTTCTTGAAAAAATGAAAAATATTGAAATCTATATCAAACATATTTTTTATTTGATAACAATGAAATTTGTATTTAATAAAAATTTGAATTCTTTGACGATATTAGACGGGAAAAGCAGCGTCGGCTTGAATTGAATCTTCGGCTACCCATTAAATGTGTGCCAAACCTCATTTCTGTGAGTGTGTGTGTGTGTGTGTGAATTTCGATCTGTTCTAGAAAAGTCCACCGAAAAGTAAAGCGAAGTGACACCAATAGGATCCATCAAAAGTAAGAAATCACGCCATTTGCATCTGCATTTGATGCAATTAATCGCTTGTTTGCATATTGTTTCGCCGAATTTCGTTTTGTTGATCACATTTTTAGCTCTTATCTACATGTTTAATCAGTCAAACAGAAAAGTTTTTTTATTTCTGTTCTAAGTTAAACTAACTTCATAAGCGGTGAAACTAGACATTTTATATTCGAAGTATCTAGTGAAGTAACTCTCGAGATAATAATCACACTTATTACGTTTGTACGCAAAAAGTTGTTTTGAACAAATGGAGAAAAATAAGAAGAACAGAATAAATAAAAGTCTCGCCGCCTATGACATTATATTTTTTACGTTCAGTTTGTTGCCTGTTTTGTGTCGTAATTATTGTGAAGAAAAGATCGATATTCGCTTCGTTTATGATTTCAGAGAGCGGCATTGATCCAAAGTCTATCGTTTCTCTTGGAATTTCGTCACAGCGTGCCAGTTTTATTACGTGGGACTTAAAAACTGGTAAACATTATCACAAGTAAGAACAATATCAACAAAAAAAAAAAAAAAAAAAAAAACGAAACGAAGAACGTCAAAGATACGTGGACTTTGTGATCTCACTAATATGTTGTTGTCGTTTCCAGATTTATAACATGGAAAGATCAACGAGCGGCCAAACTGGCCGACGAATGGAATCAGTCACTGACAATGAAAGGATTGCGAATGGCTTCGCATATTTTATATATGCTTACTAGAAATCAGCGATTTTTATGCGGCAGCGTATTGAAATTCATGAACATGGAGGTCGGCATGTTTGTCAGTTGGATTATTTCCATTAATAAAAAATTGTATATATTAACAAAAATTATATATTATTAGTTTAAAAAATTGTATTATCAGATCTAAATCGCGGCTTTGAGACAAAAACTTTTTGCGAGGATTTTCACAGTCTTCGCAGAGTTTTTGTCTAACTTGATTTGATTTTATGTCCGCGCAGGTTACCATGAAACTAGTTTGGGCTCTTCAAAATATACCGGCACTACGAGAAGCCGTCGCTAACGGAGAAGCGGCATTCGGTGGCGTGGATTGTTGGCTTTTGTACAAATTAACAGGTTGAAATAATTTCTCTCTCATCTTTCATTGCTATAATTATAATTTAAAAGTCCGAAAAAAATCCATGTAAAACCCGAGATGTGATATATTGCATAATGATCTGACGCGGTCTGATGTATTTACAATAAAGGAAAACATGTGATGGATGCTTCGTGCGCTTCCGGCACTGGTATATTCGATCCATTTACAATGCAATGGGCCGATTGGGCGTTAAATCTGCTGAAAATACCCCGCAACATTCTTCCAGAAGTTGTAGACACAATAGGCGACTTTGGAGTCACTCCCAAAGATTTGTTCGGAACTGAAATTCCTATTTGTTGCTCGGTGAGTTGCTCTAGTTTGACTAGAGGTTCGGGATCATATTAGACGCATTTATCGTTTTAATAATAATCCACAAAATTAGATGGCCGATCAGTCAGCATCTTTATTTGGTTCAGGATGCTTTAATCCCGGTGATCTTAAGATCACCATGGGCACAGGCACTTTTCTAAACGTCAATACAGGACGGATTCCACACGGATCTGTTGCTGGTAAGTTTTCGCAAATTCATATTGCACATCTATTGTAATTTTTTTCAAGTTGTAAATATTTCTCTAGAAAATTTTTTATAGGACTTTATCCTGTTGTCGGATGGCAAATTGGAAAAGAAATTGTATATATCGTAGAAGGGTGTTCAAGCGACACTGGTATACTTCTCGAATGGGCTAAGTCGCTAGGTATTCATCGAGTGTTAAACTGTTTTTTGCAAATTTGCAAGTTTGTTTTATATTTGTATTTTTAAATAAAATTCTTTTATATGCTGACTTCAATCACAACTGCAGGAATCGTGAATGATGTTTGTGAAACATCTGATATGGCTAATTCGGTTAATGACAACGATGGAGTATATTTTGTTCCAGCTTTCAGCGGATTGCAGGTACTTTAGCGGTAAACGCAATTTTTAACTTTACATAAAAACTAAAACGTTGTTCTTAAAAAAGATATCGACATGTGATATTTAAAAGTTTTAGATAATATTTGTATTGCATGTAAATCAAACTGAACCAGACAACATATGTATATTGTATAAATACAGTATACATTTATCTTCTTTTTTAGGCTCCTATTAATGATTATACAGCTGCAACTGGTTTCTTAGGATTAAAACCAACTACAAGAAAAGAGCATATTATTCGATCTTTACTGGAGAGTCTTGTTTTCAGGACACAATTACTACACGAATGTCTACGTAAAGAAACGGACTTTTCTTATCGGAAGTTAAGGTAAACAGAATTACATAAAAATAAAGATGAAACTAAAAGCAGAAAAGAAATATTTTTTATGTTCTAAAGGAAAAAAGTTGTTTTATATTAACTTTAAGCTCAAATTTAAAACTTTTTAACTATTAATTAATTATGCAAATATATCATTTTCTCTTGTAGAATCGATGGCGGAGTTTCCAAAAACGATTTTATCATGCAATCACTGGCTAATTTAACGGAATTGGAAGTTGAACGTTCGGTATCTGTTGAAATGTCTATCTTAGGAGTAGCTTTCTTAGCTGGTTTACAATGTGGTACGAAAAATTTTTAAGTATTCTTATATGTACTCATGTGTAATACACATATATGTGTATTACACATGAGTTTATTCTTCTCTTTTATATTTTATTATTTAATAGTTTTAAAATTATACTAATGTTTTTTTTCTAAATACCTGGAAAAGTCGAATTTAACTGTACATATTTTTACTGCTTTCTTTTATTTAATTTAAAACAGATAAGATACTTAATTTTTATATTTTGTATTTATTTAATACGTAAATATGTATATAACATATAAATATAAATAATTATATTTTTTCTTTCTTGTCGTAAAATATATTGTTTTAATTGCAGGTTTGTGGAAAAGTAGAGAAGAAGTGTCGAAACTTCGCCAAATAGATAGAATATTCAAGCCAGACAAAACATCGCGATCATCTTGTCAAAAAGCATTTGACCAGTGGAAACGCGCGGTAGAGCGCTTTAAAAAATGGTACTGACAAACAGTTTTAAATATAAGGGACCAAGTTATTTGTTTTCTCGATATTAGAAATTCTTAATGTTTCTACAATAAATTTTTATACATTTTTATATTGAAATACTGATCAATCATTGTTGAAGATTGAAAATTAGCGTTAAAAGAATTTGTCTAATTATAATATTATAATATTAATCATCATACTTTACGTTAAAGTATAATAGTTTTGTTGTTTGTATATATCATATCTGGAGGCGGAAGTGAATTTGTGAGAAATAAATAAATATAAGAAATAAAATAAAACTTTGATATATGAGGCGATATATTTAAGTTATTAAATGATTATTACAATGAGCAATACCGGGTGTCTAGTGCCGATTGACAAATCGTTTCGTCGAGGAAACCTTCGAGACTCGTCTCTGAAAATTTCTTCTCTTTTCAAATTATTAAACCGTTGATCGCAGGTGAAAGCAAAATATATAGAAAAGTTTTGAACGCTGCTTACAAGTCATATGTATATAATAATATTTGTCGCTTGTTGAAACAACCGCTGTCTTGATAACCAACATCGTTAACGATTTAACGCTTTCCGTTTAAGTTAAATTACGCAAACATGTTTAATACAAATATATATATATATATATATATATATATATATATATATATATATTTTATATTCCTACATATCTGTTGTGTCAACATGTGTGATGGTTCAATGTAATTCTCAATCAAATTGAAAGCCTCTCTTAACGTTCTAATAGTGTCAATGTCAAATCGTATCACGCTACTTTATCTGCAATAAAAAACAAACATTATGTATAGGGGAGACCGGGGCTAGTTGTGACACGGGATTAGTTGTCAAGCTGCTATTATCTTGCTTACTAAATTGTGGAAAATATTCTTCTTTATATTGTAAGTTGCTACTATTGTTTTAGTAACATGTACAAAA